ACATGCTTCATATAAACAACCATTTCATGTGTAAAACATGGTGCAAAAATCAATTAAATGAGACAAGTGAAGCAGAAATTTCCAGTTTTTATTCTTTAGAGGTATAATTTTTCCTACAGCCATTGGTAAATACTTAAGCAGAGCCCACCATTGTACTGCTTTCATAGAGAGATCAAGTACATGCCCTGGTTCTTGTATTTTAATAAAAAAATTTCTGCAGGTTTATGAGTTTTTTACAATAGTTATTTTTCCCCATAATAAAGAAATAGCTTTATTTATACCTGATATAGTTAGGCACTTATCTAATATGCAAAAACCATGAAGAATACACCCTAACTCTACAAGAACAACTCCTTCCAAGAGAGTGTGCATAATATCTAAACACCAATTATCTGTCACATGATAACCTTTTATTTTATTGAGTGGGCATTCAGTCTTTACACCTCTGTAGTGATTTTTCAATTGATTAGAATTGTTCTTATTGCTTGTCCTACTTGCTACTAAATTAATCAGATCTGTTTTGTAGCTATGCACAGTATGCATCTGAAACAGATTATCTTCAAATTTAATTTGAATGTCTTCTTTTTTGCATAGCAAATTGTACAAAAATGACTGCCAGAGAAAGACTCAACAAATCCAAGCAAGCCATCGAGAGCCAAGTTATCACAAGTAACTTGACAAAGACTTGCATAAATTGTACAAGTACCTAAAACTGGAAATTCTTGTAATCCAATAGTGCTTAACTCTTCTATTTCATCAACAAATTTGCTTAAAAAGGCCCATGACCATAAACTGCAATATCATGAGCGTAACCCATGACTAAAAAGTGCACATTGCCAAAACAAGAGTTAATGCGTGTGAAAGATTTTTTATAGTGTAATAAAAAACTCTAATGTTATGAACAGAGTTTTGACTTCTCAACAGATTAGTTACACCTAAACCATCATAAAACAATTGGATCATAAGGGAAATTTTAGAGACATCACTAAAAATGTAATGCTCTTTGAAACGACTTCCATCTGAAAAATCGGTCAAGACACCATGTCTACACTTTTTCTCCAGAAACGTTTTTACATAAGCCTCATTCTGTAACAAATTAAATATATTTTTTTTGATAGAAACATATTGGAACTGATCATATACAAATTTGTTATGCCCACAATGAGACTCTAATCGTGGCATATAGCAGATACCTTCAGGTTGAACCATAAGAGGATGCCCTGCAAAAGAGTCAATGCAATAACGTGTTTATAAAAAATCAAGAGGATTATTGCATAGTTCTAATTTGGGATGCATCTCTTGTGAAATTTGGTCAATAACTGCACAATCAGCCATATATGTGATCCAGCCTGAACTATTGTAGGTATGATATATGGTATTTGCACGAAGTTGTGTTACAAGTGATGCTCCTTCATCTTTAACATCCTGCAAAAAATCTAAACGATTTACAGACGAAACCACATCTAGATTAGGAGATGAATCTTTTAACTGGTTAATACAAGGGGCATTGTTGTCACATAAGAACAAATTTTCTGAATTTTCTTCTATAAATGCAGCTGCTTCACTGACTCTCTTTGTGTTTATTTGGTGGTGAGTATTTAAATGTCTAATAAAATTGAACAAAACTGAAAACGAACTTATACACTTATCTTGACGACAACATATTGGTATAGATAATTGTCAGTTATCTTTATATCGCTGCAAATGAACCCTTAACTCAGAAATACTATTATAACCTTTATTGCAAAGATGATATAAAAACATTCTTAAAATATGCTAATTTCTTAAAAATAGTTATAACTTTTCTAACTCTATAAATGCTCGTGATGACGGCTTAATTTATATCACGCGTTTCATGCATATTATTTTACTCCACACTAATTGTGCAATCTTTTAATTTTTATAGAATTTTCACTCAAATCGATTTTTCTGAAATAATAACTATACAAAATTGTGCAAATTACGGCCTCTATATTTAGTGTGGAATTTTATGTCCACACTTTCTGCGAGAGTGTATATTTTTTTTACAGCTATAACTTACTTTAATATTATTTCTGCTAAGAATTGTGTGTAATTTATTATGAAGGAAATGTTTATCTATTACTGGGCTCGAATTAAGTGATCACAAATTGTGATATCTGGATATGCTTCTGTTTTTTAAATTTTTAGCTTTTAAAAATCGATAATTTGATAAATAATCAGATAAAACTAGAAAATTAAAGTATACAGTTGATATAATGTTAAAAAACAACCGCCGATCACACCAGTCTAAAGGAGTTTAGCGGGGATCAAATATTTTAAATAAAATAATCACGAAATAAGATATTAAATACTTTTATATCTTATTTAAATTTTATTCAATATTTTCTTAAAAATTAAATATTTTATTCAATATTTTCTTATAAATTTACTCGTAGCAGATATGTATACAAATTTAAGGACAGAGGAGTTTAAAAATATATAAAAACTGAATTAACTGACTTAACTGATATAACTGATTTTTTATAGTTATTTCAAAACAAAACAAAAAAACTTTAATAACTTGTTTTAAAATACATCTTTTTTATTGTTATTTTTATTATCAATTAATTTATTTCTAATTTAATTGTATGAAACATTTAAAGTTTTAAAGTTTTCCCCTAAACAAAAATTGATTTAGTATAATTTTTTATTGGTTGATTTTTAATCAATTGGATATTTTTTAGTAATAATTATTTTTTTCTATAATTTTTTTTATTTTGTAATCATTAATTTATCTGATGTAAAATAGTATTTAATTATCTGGTGTTTAAGCAAACAATAATTTAAAATATGTAAGTTTTGACTGTTTTTAATTTTGCAGTAGTAAATTTGTTGTTCCTTTTTTCATTAATTTTTGAATTATGGTATGAACTTTTCATTAAAACAGTTTTTAATAAAATAAGAATATAATGACCAGAAATATTTCCAGATATTGCAATTCACATTACTTGTTGAAACAAATTATATTTCTATTTCACTTTTTTGTAATTTTTGTTTAAAATTTTAGCTTGAATTTATTAATTTGCTTTTTTTAAGAGCACCTTCATACATACATTTAGAAGATTTTAAAATATTTTCATTGGAAGAGTTTTGATTTAGTCTATTATTAATTGAAATAGGAGTTTGCTTTGAGATTTGAGGGGGGTGATTTGAATTTATAGTAATATACAACAACTCATCATTAGATTTTTTATAAGGTTTATAAAAATCTTCTGAAAGACTAAATGTGAGATCAAGAAAATTTAAAATATTAAATTAGTGTTTATTTTAATTTGGAAACCATTGTTTTTGAAAATTTTAGTAAATTTTTTTTTTGGTTTTTTCAAGTTGAGGCCCTGATTTATTTTGCATTGTTATAAAATCATTATTGCAATACAGGCCTAAAAAAATATTCTTATCCCAAAAAAAAAAGTTATTTTTGTTGATAAGAAAAAAATATAAATGCATGGTAGGTTTATTTAGTTGGTATATTTTGTATAAATCTGTCTACAAATATCTGTCAAGAAAAATAGTGTTTTTTCTCAGTTTTTTCTGGTTAATAATCTGGGAGCTATTAAATTTGAACAGGTACATATAGAAAGAAATGAGTTAACATTATACATGAATAATTTATTTCATTTACTTATATTACCTATCATTAAAAAAGAACATTATTTTAAACTTTTTTATAAAATTCTTTTTTGATAATATTAGGGACCTGTCTGATGTTTAAGGGTCATTTCCAACCTCTAAATAAGCTTCAAATAACCTAGATAGTGTTGTCTTTTGGTAAGTTTATGGTATAAAACCGTTACAGAGAGAAAACAAATCACAATGTTAAAAATCTATTTTTATGAAATTAAATGCATAAAAAACATATTAAATTAAACGCATAAGAAAATAGTTATAAAATATTATCTTTTGTGAGTTGACCTTTTGGCATTTTGGCTTGTAAGTTGACCTTTTGGCATTTTGTATTTTTTTCTATGATAATTTCTATAGTTGATTCTATGATTTTGCTTCTGATCTTCCTTTTTGGATGCCTTCACATTGTGTTGTATTAGTTTGTTGTTTCTTTCAGTCGTTAGTAGTTGAGAGATGTTTAACAAATAAATGAAACTTACAAAAACTTTCAGTATTCTCCCAAGATTTTACTCTATTTTAAACCCATTGTTCAACTTTGCTTTTTGTATCTCAAATAATTTCAAAAAGATACCAAGACTCTGGACCAACCAGAAGAGATAGTATTGTTTTGAAATTGAGAACTGGAATATTTTGAGGATACCCTATCTGGAATGTAAGAGTAGGAAATAGGTTATAAATCATTTATTTTTATTTTTTGATTGTTTTCAACATCATGATCTCCAATTGCTAACACAATAAGTTGAGGAGTTAGGTACCAAGAGTGTTTCTTTGTTAAGAACTATCCTAACTGCTCATTGTATTGCTCTTATATTTTAAAACTTGTCCTGAAAGCATCAAGATCATTCTTGGGTGCTTTTGAAGACTGAGAGCTTTTTAAAAACCATGGTGCATAAAGAATGAAAGTAGAAAAATGTCCTTTTTGTACCTCATTTTCTTCCTTTTCTGTCATTATTTTAACAAAATTTCTTGACAAACGCCAGGTTGGTGGAATTTAAAAATAGTCACATTTCCACCAATATAAAAAAACAACAAGTTGACAAAGGTTCCTATAATCACATCTTGCAAAAGTATTTTTGACCAGAGCTTTAGAACAGATATTTTTTTTGCTTTTTTTGCAAGAGTGAATCACTTATGTTAATTCAGTGTTTCAATGAAATAATAAAAAGATTATTTCATTGAAATTCTTCTTCAAAAAAATATATAGACATATACAAAAATGTATAAACAAAGATATATACAAAATCCTATAAAAAATAGATATATAAATTTATATATATAATTTATAATATATATTTATTTTTTTTTATAGAATTTAGACTTTTTTTTTTTAATTTAAAATTTCTTTAATTGTTAAGACATTAGAAACGCAAGAAAATGAGACAGAGGATCCAGATGATGACAAAATGGAAGACACTCAGGTTGTGCAGATTAAAAAAGATTATGACATATATATATATATATATATATATATATATATATATATATATATATATATATATATATATATATATATATATATATATATATATATATATGCAATTTTCAGAATATAGAGTATGTAAATTACTTTGTAGAACTTGAATCTATTTTAATTAAAAAAATAATTTATTATCAAGATATTAGAAATGCAAGAGGATGAGATTTTAACTGATGATTCAAATAAAGAAAAAATTGACTACACTCAGGTTGTGCAGATTAAAAAAGATTATGACCAACCAGAAAAAAAGTCTATTTTAAAAACCAAGATTGAAGGTCAGCTTTTTTTTATTAACTTATTCTTTTAAACTTTTTTAACTTATTAAACATTAAAGTTATAACTTCTACTTAAATTTTCTATTATATGAAAAAATTAAAATCACATAGAATTAAAAGTAGTTATTAAATATTTTAATTAAATTTTTAAATATTTTAGTTTTTAATTTTTAGTTATTAATATTAAATTTAAAATATGTTAAGTGTTATTTTTGTTTTTGAAAATAAAATGTCTATTTTTAAGTTGTAAGCTTTTATTTATTATACAAGGTAAATAAAAAACTAACAAACTTTGAAATAAATTAATTTGAAATATTCTTTAATATTAGTTCTGATTACTTTTTTTAATAAGCTTGTCAGTCTAAAATATGTACAAAAGGTCAGATCAGCATTTACTTCCATTTTGACAGATAAATGGCGAAGCTGGTAGGAAAAAAGTAGAAGAGAACCATAAAATTGAATTTTTTTTTCTGTGCTAGCAGGATTGGTATTATTTTAGGATTAATTTTGTAGCATGGTATGATCAGCAGTTAATTTAAGAATATGAGATTAATTTCACATATTTTAAATCAACAACATTTGGTTTTAGGAAAAAAAAAAAATCTTTTTTTTTCTATCAAAAATTTTTACTATTAAAAGTTTTAGCTTTATCATGGTTGAGATAGTTATATAATAAATATATTTTTTATACATTTATAACAAAAAATGAAGTCATAATATAATAACAATGTTCACATTGCACAGATATAGAAATCACAATTGTAGAACATAGTGGTCACAACCAAAACAGAAGTTGAATCACAGAGGCAGAAAAGTAGAATCACACATAAAAATGAAAAAAAACACAGAGGTTTTACAGATAACACAGATTACATTTTACAGATTTTTACAGATAGCACAACACAGAGGTTTTACAGATGTAGAGGTTTTCTTATAGTGTTTCAGAATATATATATATATATATATATATATATCTCAACCATTGCATTAACACAGAGGTTTAGATATAGATGTAGAGGTTTTCTTATAGTGTTTCAGAATATATATATATATATCTCAACCATTATTAAGATGTTGTCAATTTTTGTTCGCGTATTTCAAACAGTATGCACTTACTCATTGTATGTTAGTACAGTTAATCACTTTGTCTAAGTATAAAATAAAAGTAAAATAACTATTTTGTGATGATTTACACTGTAGACAAGTATTTGTTGTTGCTTCAAGACTACTGTGGATGGATACTGGATGTTGAATAATGGAGCTTTTAAACTTTTTTTTTAGAAAAACTTACTCAAAAAAACACAAATAAGAAAAAATGTTGCTAAGAGTTGTTTTAGCTATCTTTATTTAGTTAATATAATTATTATTGAATTTAACTGGTTAAGTTTAAAGTGTCTCATCTTGATTTACTTTGATCAATAAGTTAAATAATATAGATTACTATAAAATTCAATGTTTTTACTTTTACAAGCGTTTGGTACATAAAATAATAAAATATCAATTTATAGATCTTAAATCGAAGCCTATGAAAAAATTTCGATTTCCTGGTCAACCAAAAGATAGAGGTGTTAAGTTTTCTGGATCCATGCCTCATTTACGTTCATCATTACTTGTTGAAGATTGGTTACCTTCTGAATATAAAGTATGTCTAAAGCTGTTTCTATATTTAATAATTTTTTAATCTTATTTTTTATTCCTATTTTTTTATCCATCTATTTTTTTTTAATTATATCTATTTTGTTTCTACTTTTTTTTACATTCAAGTATAAAATTTTTTATATTCAAGCTTTGATAGTTTTTTGTTTTAGTGTTATGTTGACAACTTTAAAAACCATGGTTACGACAATATTTCATTTATAGCTGGATGTATAAAAGAAAAGGTTGTAAATTATTTTTAGTTCTTTTATTTTTTTATTTTAAATTTATTCTATTTACAGGTTTAAATTAATTGTATATTTAATTATAGGATTTAATTAGTATTGGTATAGTAAATCATGGTCATCGAAAACGTCTTATGCATGTCATTGAAAGCCTTCCTCCAGAGGAGCTATTGCAGGAGATTCCAGTAAGAGAATTTTTTTATTTTTTGCTGATTATCATTGATTTTTGCAATCATTTTTGAGTCAAAAAATTTGTTTACAATTTTTTATTTGTTCAAAAGTTGGCTAAAATGGGCTACATGTAACATTTAATTCTGATTTTTTTTTAACTTTTTAATTTTTTCTTTTTAAATCTTTAATCTTTTTGGTGCATATTATCATCTATTTTCTTTGTATTTGTTGTGTGTAAAGTTTTTTTCTTTCAATTTTAATATTTTATACTTATTTTTATTTTCAAAAAACTTAAAAAATATTTTATTAAAGTAATAATAGAGTAAAATTTATCAACAAATTTATTTATCGAAGTTTTGTGTGATTTCTAAACCTATAAAAAACCTACATAAATTTATCAATAAATTTATTCATAGAAGTTTTGTGTGATTTTTAAACCTATAAAAACCTACAAAAATTTATCAACAAATTTATTCATAGAAGTTTAGTGTGATAAAAAATTTATGAAAAGTTATTTCATGATAAAAATTTTATGGTTTATATTATTTATAAAATTCAAAAAATCTCTTTTGTAATGATGGTTTGTGAGTAACGACTAAGGTCAGCAGAAAATAACTTCATTAGTTACAATAAGGCAGGAAATAGTTAAGCATTCACATATTTATATATCACAAACTATATGGCCATTTTAAATATTTTTAAGTACATGTTGAAATTTTATGACCATTTTAAGTTCATGTTGAAATTTTATGACCATTTTAAGTACATATTGAAATTTTATGACTATTTTGAGTACTTGTTAACATTGAAAGCTGTATTTCGAAATGTGATGAGTCACAAAATTAAAATTTTACAGGAGAGTGAAAAATGTTTCTCCTGTAAAAAATTTTATCTAAAAAGTTTTTCTTTTTTTTAAAAAAAAAAATTTTATTTTATTTAAAAAAATCTTTATTTTATTTAAAAATTTTATCTTTTAAAAAATTTTTTTTTTTAAATAAACTCACTTTTGAAAAAATGTGACTAACGTTTTCGAAATACAGCGTTTAATTTAATGGCCATTTTAAGTACTTATTGAAAAGAAAATAGCATCATATTTGATAGGATATAAGTTAACCGATCAAAAAGGATAAGGTTGAGGCATGTAATAAAAATTTAGCCATATTCCACAATCATCCATGGAGGCTGTTTGATGTTATTACAGGAAATGAGTTTTGATTTTATTTTATACAAGTTGAACACAAGTCAGCTAACGCTAGTTGGTGAAGGTGAAAGTCCAACACACAAAATTTTGAATTTATGATATATGCTTTAATATAAAGATATGCTTTATGATATATGCTTTATATTATGATATATGCTTTAACATAAAGATATGCTTTACATTTTTAAAAAAGACCATTACTAGTCAATATTATGTGAAAAACTGTTTGAAACTTATTATATTCAAAATAAACAAGCAAAGACCTGTAGCTGGCACTCTTAAATTCAATCTTCTCAATGATAGTTCTCAATTCTTTGTCATCCAAACTTTTTTTATTTTTAAAAAATTAAACTATACTGATATCAAGAGTAAAAAAAATGACGAATGACTTGAAAGGATGCAACCTTGCATTGATAAGCTTGGATATTAATTTTATTAAGTTTTTTTCATTTTTATGTGTGATTCTACTTTTCTGCCTCTGTGGTTCAACTTCTGTTTTGGTTGTGACCACTATGTTCTACAATTGTGATTTCTATATCTGTTACTGTGTTCTACTGTTGTGACTTCTATTTCTATTACTGTGTTCTACTATTGTGTTTTATTGTTGTGACTTCTATTTCTACTACTGTTTTCTACTACTGTGTTCTACTGGTGTGACTTCTGTTTCAACTACTGTGTTCTACCATTGTGTTTTACTGTTGTGATTTCTATTTCTACTACTGTTTTCTACTACTCTGTTCTACTGGTGTGATTTATATTTCTATTACTGTGTTCTACTGTTCAGACTTTTGTTTCTACTACTGTGTTCTACTGTTATGACTTCTATTTCTACATCTGTGTTCCACTACTTGTAACTACTATGTTCTATTATTTGTGCATGTTCAACTACTTACAACTATTGTGTTTAATAACTTGCAAAAACTGTGTTACTGTTTGTGATTAGTGTTTTCTGCTACTCATTTTTCAAATTTGAAGTTTAAGGAATTTTATCATATATAGTTTTTTTGCCCTTCTTAGAGGTAAAAAAAATTGAAGGAATTAATGGAAATGATATTAACTAAAAACTAAATAATAAAAGAATTTTAACTTTCTATTTTTTTACTTTATTTTTTTTTTTAACTAGGAAAATGTACAAGAATGGTTGACCAATTTAGGTCTAGAAGAGTATTGGGGAAAGTTTTTTGAAAATTCTTATACAGAACCACGTGACCTAGCAGATATTAAGTATTTAAGTCGTGAAGAAATAATGTCTTTGTTCCAAATTAAAAAAGAAGGACATATAAGGCGATTACTGAAAGCTACTTCAGTACTTCAGTATCCAACAAAAGGTTTTAACTATACTTATAAATATATTAGTTATAATTAAAGTTTTAAATGTAAATAACTGTTTAAAATTAAAGTGAAATGTATTCGATATTGATTTACTGGTGAAATATATATATAAATATATATATATATATATATATATATATATATATATATATATATATATATATATATAACACTGTGCATGTTTTGATAATTTGCATTTTTTAAACAGAAAACTTCTTTCCAAGTACTTAACCACAATAAAAACTTGATTTAAAAGTTTTTCTTTTTTTATTACATAAACATCTCAGACAATCATGTTTTAAACGTTTCTTTAATAGTATCTTGTTCATAACAAGACTGATAATCATGACCTTATGTTTTAATTGTCTTAGCACATAACTTTAGAAGATTAAAAATAATTGAGAAAAAAATTGAAAAAAGAAGAAAAAAAGTTTGAAGATCTGCAAATATGGCAGACAAAAATTATCTAGTAAACAGAATGAGACATAAAAGGTTTGAGGATTATGAAAATAATTTGTTGCAAATTGATCACATAATATGAATATTTTTTAACCTCATGATTAATTTCAACTATAATTTCATTAAAAGAAAATCTGCTCTTTAAATATTATTACTGCATGAAGAAACGAGCTGAGCGCAGTACTACCAGGGACGTGGTGGGGATCGAACTTGGAACCACTAATTGCATGATGAATAACACAAGAATGAATTTTAGTAGATAGCAAAAGAGACGCTAGCTCTTTAGAGCAGCGCCTATTATAGTATTTATAGAAAAGAGAAAGAGAGGCAATATTAGCACAATGTGATAATGGTTGGAGGTTAGCTGCAAGAGCAGGTCCAACTATGTTTACAATGCGTTTTTGCACCTTGTTTATTGGAGAAAGGGTATCATTGGAAGATCCAACCCAGATATGGCAACAGTATTTCATACAAGGGCAGATTTGATATTTATAAAGATAAAGAATAGAATCTGAAGTAAGAAAGTGGTGAGTACAATAAAGAGATGCGACCTTAGGAGATGCTAATTTTGCAATGGATTTGATATATGATTTCCAAGAAATATTGGAAATTAGAGTTAATCCTAGAAGACGAAGGGTAGATGACTAATTGAATACATTACCATTCATAAATATAGATAGATCTAGATTATTGCAATAATGATTAGCTGAAAAAAAGAGTTTTATCTAAGTTAAAGTTCACCAGCCACTGAACCCCATGCTGTAGCAAAAGTGAGAACCTTTTCAAGCTCAAATGCCCCCTCCAAACAATCAGAGTGTTGGCTTCTTATCAAGATAAGAATAAATGGTAGTATCATCAGCTTACAATTTCACCTTAAATGTAAGAATTTCTGGTAGATCATTAATGTAAGTTAAAAAAAGAATAGGGCCAAGGGTAGAACTTTAAGGAATCCCTGAAGTCACAGGAAAAGAAGAAAAGTGCATTTCATCGAGGACAACTTTATGCTATAATTGGTAAGGAAGGATTCGATAATCTTAAAGGTGTTACCTGATACAGCATAAGAAGAGAGTTTCTAGTGTAACTAACCTAAAAGTTTTAAATAAGATGCATAATCCATAAACCATCATTAAATGTTGCTACTATTATTGTCTTAAAACTTTAAATCTAATAATTTGCAAAAACATGCACAATATATAGACCAAACAAGTAAGATCAAATTAAAAAAACAAACAAGTAAACTTAAAAAAATACTCAACTTATTAGATACCAGGTTTTTTCTAGATTTTTTGCTTTAAATTAATGATCAATTTAGATTAAGAAATCTAGCGTGCTATTAAGAATTTTATTATAGTTATTTTTTCATTCAAAAATTTTTTAATTGGTGTTTTCATTGACTTTTTTCATTCATATAGTTTTGTAATAAATTTAATAATTAATTTGTTTAATAAGATTTATAATCTATGTTTTCAAAGTTTTTTTAAAAAAAGTAAATACTTTTTAAATATTTTAATTTAAAAAACTTTTTTTAATTTAGTTTTTATTATTTGCAATGTTTCTACTAATCAGACTATTTATAAGAAACAAAAAAATAGTGATTCCTTTTACAAAAATATTTAAATATTAAAAATGTTAATCACTTAAATAAAATTTTCCCCTGACTTACACTATCCTTGCACTAACTTCTAAATTTTGTTACTGTAGCTAAATCTTTCTTTGATTTTCAGGAATGACCCTCTGCAGTTTCCATTCAATTAAATTTCAGTTTCCACCACTTATTAAATTTTATTAAAAGAGTTATGCAATATTTCCAAAGTGGTTTGGAAAAGGATATTATGGTACTGATTTCAGGAACTGTGAAGCCCTAACATTAAAGTCCATTGATGAAAGTGAAACATTTCGGAAGTTATTTTGATGAAAAAAATTTGTTTAACTTTTAATATTGATACACGTACATGAAATTTACATTAGTTGCATTAACATACTAACTTTTTTTTTTTAACTAGATTTTAAATTTTATTTTATTTAACAGTGACATTCATTATTGCATGCCCCTCCCCACTCCACCACCACCCTTATTATTTTTGGGTATTATTTTTGCTAAAGGTATTTATACATATTTATATATATATATATATATATATATATATATATATATATATATATATATATATATATATATATATATACACATATATATTATATATATAAATATATATATATATATATATATATATATATATATATATATATATATATATATATATATATATATATATATATATATATATATATATATATATATATTATATATACAAACAGTAAGAATATTTCAAATTTTTTTACGTTCATATGTATGACGAAAGAATTCTTTTTAAAAAAAAATTACTGCGATAGGAGAATGGGAACAAGAAACCCTAAAATCTTAGCCAAGCCCCACCCTGCCCCAAACATGAGAGCATTAATAACATTAGTAGAAGAATTAGATTTTAACCTTTTGACACCATGTTGCAGTTCTTGCATCTCTCGTTCTCTAAGACTATCTGTTCTTTTACGCTTCATCCTGTTTGTAAGCTTAATAAAAGACTTTCTAGGTTTTGGTGTACAAGATGTATTGACTGCAGATGATTTAAGTACTCTACATGGTACACTATAAATAATAAAAAAATACATTGAAACATATCTACATTTTGAAGGTTTTGTGAAACATAGTCAAACAATATGTATGTGTGTGTGCCAAATAAAAAGAGGGAGATACATTTATTATGCATACCTGTTTACATTAGATCCATGAGTACGAAGCAGTAGTTCCCCTTCTTTTATTTTACGCTCATCCTGCTTGATGAGTTGATTACCCTGTTTAATCAGATTTTCACCTTTTCTAATTAATAGCAGTTCTTCCTCATGCGTTCTAATCTCTTTTTCAGAATCTTTTTCTAATCTACACGCACAAGTATAATATATATATATATATATATATATATATATATATATATATATATATATATATATATATATATATATATATATATATATATATATATATATATATATATACATATATATATATATATATATATATATATGTATATATATATATATATATATATATGTATATATATATATATGTATATATATATATATATATATATATATGTATATATATATATATATATATATATATTTATATGTGTATATATATATATATATATATATATATATATATATATATATATATATATATATATATATATATATATATATATATATATACTATAATGCAATATTTATTACTTATTTATTATAAATCAATATAGAATATATTATACTCACAAGAGATATTTGAATTGTTGATTTTGATCCAAAAAATGTTTATACTTAGTAAGAAAGAACTTTTTTTTTTTTCCACACTCATTAAATTTTTTTATTAAATTAAAAGCCAGACTTTTGAAAATGTTGAAATTCACAGTGCAATCAGCATAAAGTGATAAAAACTTGGACTGCAAAAATTTAGCACATTCAGATACATTTTTACTCGTGAAAATTTGCCTTAAAGGAAAATTATCAGCCAGAAGTTTGCTAAGATTAAAAGTAACCATTTTTAAAAAATTCTAAATCACGATGAGAGTCAAACTTAGGTTATAACTTAAAGACTAGAAAAGAATGTTCTGCCCGCATCCAGTTTTTTCTTGACTAACCGGTTTTTAATAAATCCACCTCTTTTGAATTGATTTTATAGCATGTTACTGCAGAGGTAGCCAGAATATTATTTCACTTATAAAAAGTCAATTTGTTTGAGAAAATTTTAAAAAAATAAAAAACTGGCTACCTCTGTAGTAACATGGTCTAATCGATCAATCTTTACAGACACCCAAAAACAATGATCCAAACATTTTTTTTTTCTTTTCTTGGTTTTTAATTTACAAAATGTATCATTTATTAGAAAATGTGCAAAAAAAAATGAAGAAATTTGAAAATTATCTTATGTAATTTAAAGATTTAGTGAAAACATGGGGTTTTTTACCCCTGAAAATCCTGCACCTAAAAAGACAAATTTAAAAAAATTAAAAAAAAACTTTTTTTTATTAACTAATACTAACTTGTTTCAGTTAAAAAATATTTTAAATATTAAAATTGAAAAATTTTTTCTGAAAAGTAAGTAAAATCCCATTTCTGCTTCGCGACGCATAGTGCGACTGAGGGTTTAGTTAGAATCAGCGTCAAGGTCAGGCTTAGGGTTACGGTTAGGGCAAGGTTTAAATATGGTTATATTACTGTAATTAATCGTTTTTGTAAATAGATAAAATAAAAATATTTATAACAAAATATTAAATTTAAATATGTATAAATAAAAGTTATAAAAAAAGTTATAAATATGAAAAAAATAGTAAAAAAATTAAAAAAAAAAAAAAGGTTACCGGGAACGCCGAGAAGGAGTGAATATATATACACTCCTTGTCGGCATTATATATATATATATATATATATATATATATATATATATATATATATATATATATATATATATATATATATATATATTATATTATATATATATTATATTATATATAATATATATATATATATATTATATTATATATATATATATATATATATATATATATATAATATATATATATATATATATATATATATATATATATATATATATATATATATATATATATTTAGTTTCCGTTTTCTTTACATAAAAATATTCATAGTTTTATAGATTTTTAATATTATTCATTATTATTCATATACTTATATACACTCCTTGTCGGCGTTATATATATATATATATATATATATATATATATATATATATATATATATATAACGCCGACTTTATATATATATATATATATATATATATATATATATATATATATATATATATATATATATATATATATATATATATATATATATATAAATAGACTTTATATATATATATATATATATATATATATATATATATATATATATATATATATATATATATATATATATATATATATAAATATATATATAGTTTCCGTTTTCTCTACATAAAAATATTCATAGTTTAATATTTTTTTAATATTATTCATTATTATTCAATAAAGATCTTTAGAGAAAATAACAGGAGAAACTCAAAATTCTTTATAGAAAATAATAGAGTTCAAATTGGTATCTCAACTTTTTTTTTTTTAAGCTCAAACTCGTATTCGTGAAGCAAGAAAAGCTATTATGTCAGAAGTTACAAGGAGTTTAAAAGAAGACAATGCAGATGACGGAGCCGAATTTGAATTCTGGGATACTTTAAGAAGTATTTGTTTATTGCCCGAACAAGCAGCTTTTAATTCGAGTGGTAAAATATTTTTAAAAGTATTTTTAGTTTTTAGTATTTTTTATCGGAAATCTTTTTTATTAATGGAATCATTTTTTATTGGTTTAGGAGAGTTAGTAGAAAAGCTTAGTGATCTGCGTGATACTTCGCTGCTTGTAATGGGAATTGCCAATGTATTGTGGTTAACTTTCATGGTTACAGTTATGAACCAAGGAAAAGCTCTTAATTTGATTGGAACTTCGTTCGCCAGTTTGGCTTTTTTAGCAGTATACAGTATTGTTTTGGTGTTACAGTTTGTTGCTATGGTTTTTCACAGGTATCTTATACACAATTTATTCAAGCTTAAAATATGAATAGAATTAATGTAAAATTAATTTAATGTTTTAGACTTGAAGCTGCATTACATTATATAGCAAGAGCACCTTTCAAACCTGGCCATTTTAAATCTAATTGGTCTTGGAGAGACGACGATCTTCCTGCTCCGCCAAAACCAGAAGAATTAGAAAGAGTTAGACGAAAAAGACGAAGGTTTACTAATGATTCAAACTCAAGTGTCGGACCCTTGATCTTCAATCCTGAGCATTCATCCTTCAATTAATCTTAGATCCTGAGTGTTCATACTTTGAAATATAATGTGCTATATAAAAAAACGTTAGAAGAATTAAAATTGTTTGATAGACTTTTTATAACGATTTTCTTATGACATTTTTTAATTTTTATGAATGATTTATTATATTTATATATTTTAAATATTAACTTTTAATATTGGTACACGTAAATGAAATTTACATTAGTTGCATTAACATTTTACCTTTTTTTACCTTTTTTTACCTTTATTACCTTCTTTTTTTAACTAGATTTTAAATTTGCCTTTAGTTTTTGTAATATTTTAAAATTTTTGTATGTTTTTTTTATTTATTTATTTTTATAACATAAGTATAATAAAAGTTTGTTAAGATTAAAAATATCTTAGTACAATATAAACTTATTAATATTTTCTTTGAATATTATATAATTATAGACTAAATTTGATTTTTGACCCCCTCTATCCCCTCCCCATATCAGTTAGAGATTTATAAATTTTACATAGGCATAATTTAATAATCATTCTTTGCAATGGCATCGCAAACAGCAGAAGTGTTAATTTAATGGGGAAAAGAAAAAAATAAAAATAAATGAGGAAAGTGAAAACAGGGCAAATATTAAAGATAATAAATGAAAAGAAATGAAAAATCAAGAAAAAACAGTAAAAAAAATCAACGAAAAGCAAAGTTAAAAGTTAATTAGTTAAAAAATTAAGATATTGATTAAAAAGAACCTTAGTAAATAAAAAAAGTCTCAGATTTTTTTATTTACTATCAAATATATAAGCTAATGAAAAACGTTTACATGCGTTGTTTATGCACATAAATCAAGAAAGCACACACACACTCTTTGAAAACGGTGCAATGTAATTTTTGTTGTTATTTTTTAGTTTACTATAATCTTTATTGTTATCTATATTAGCTTATCATTATATTTACTATATATCATTATTGTTACTTTGTTTCAAGATTGAAACAAAGTAACAATAATGATCAAGATTGCGAGTACAAAAAGCATTTTGTAGCCTCAGTGTCGTTCTCTGGAAAACGTTACTTATGGTTACATCAGAATTCAAATATTTCATAATTTCCATAAAATTGACAAAACTGAGTTTCACTTCCAAAATGTTGAGTACCATTTTAACAGTAATCTTACAAGTTGTGCGGTCATAGTCAATGTCTTGAAGCGCAATTAATTAAAAACTGTGATAAAAAAAACTCTTTTTTTACACTAATTGCATAGTTAGGCTATGAAGTGCCTAACTATGCACTATCAGAGTATGTTATTAATTCAACATCAGTTGACAACTTTAAATGCAACATTAACGCATAAATCGTCATTTGGAAACACGTTGTGTTATTTACATCAGCTTAAAGGAGCCTAGTGTCGCTCTTCTTTACTAATATTCATAGTTTTCTCTTGACACTATACCTTTTAATCGTTTTTTGTACCATTACAATTAATTACAAATTTAAGCACTTGTAATTTATCTTATTGGTTTATTGGTAATTTTTAAATTTATTTAAACTGATTTCTGAATAATTCACTTCCAAAAATCAAATTCACTTACTCATAGATCTTACTTTTCCGGTAACAAGACCAACAATTTTCTATTATCAGGCTAAAATCAGCGCAATTTTATACAAAAACCTTCTTATTTGAGATAACCGAACAAACTTAAATGGATGTGGGAAGCTTACAGAAGACCAGAAGGTCTTTACATGTGACATTTTTTCAATAATTATTTTAAAAATAGTTTTTGTTTCACTAAAAATAAGTCTCTTGATAGTAAATATGCTTCAGCATAAACAACAAGTTTTTGTGTTAATTCTATAGGTCTTTAGTGCATTATAAAGTTTTAGCAAAGATTCAACATAAGTGAATTTATTTTTATTATAGATTAATGTTGCGCCATATTATGATGTTTATAAAGTGCATTAAAATTGAATCTATGAGTATTCTTTTTTTTCTTAATAATACAAATATATTATATACCATGTATATAATAGATTTGTATTATTAAGAAATAAAGATACTTTGTGTTTTCTTGAGATGAAGTTGGTCTGGTTTTATAGAACATGCCATTATTTAAGTAATCTAAGAGCGATTTCTATGTCAATAATTCTCATTTATAAGCACCCTTAATAATTATCTTAAATTTAAATATATTATTTATAAATACAAACGTTTAAATTCAAAATAACCAAACGATTGGCAGTAAAAAATTGTGCATATATTTTTACAAATAAAATTAGTTTAAAAACACTAACTTTAATTATAAAACTTTATTATTCTGAGAACAATATATTGTATAATAAACGGTTTGGGTTCAAAATATATTAATAATTCAACGGTTGAGGCAGTATATATTGAGAGCTAATAAATTGTATATCTTGTAATTGTACAACTACTACTACTACTACTACTACTACTACTACTACTACTACTGCTACTACTACTACTACTACTACTACTACTACTACTACTACTACTACTACTACTACTACTACTACTACTACTACTACTACTAGTAAGTAGTAGTAGTAGTAGTAGTAGTAGTAGTAGTAGTAGTAGTAGTAGTAGTAGTAGTAGTAGTAGTAGTAGTAGTAGTAGTAGTAGTAGTAGTAGTAGTAGTAGTAGTAGTAGTAGTAGTAGTAGTAGTAGTAGTTTGTAGTAGATTTCTTTGATTTCTTTGGCTAAATTTTTCCCAACATTTATGAAAAAAATTATTCAGTCTCTCAGCAATCGTTTTTTTATTAAAAATTTCTCCTTTATCGGTTTTCAGTCAATTAGGGACGTTGCAAGATGTAATTTTTGTTTTCCCTGTTATTTCTTTTATTATAGTCAAGTTTTTTTTAGCGTTTCCGAATGATTTCTGAAGTAGATCAGAATAGAAGTTTTTTTTAAATTGCTTTTTTATTTTTTCGAAATAGTTTTTGTATTTTTTATATTTAGTTTCGTTTTCATAGTTTTTGTTTTTTAAAAATTTTTCGTAAAGCTTTTTTTTTTTTTTTTTTTTGATGATTTTAAAGACCTTTAGTCATCCACGGGCTATGCAAACTTTTGGATTTTATATTTTTTCAAACTTTAGGAAAAGCTTTATCATATTGCCTTGTAAAGACGCGGATAAAGAAATCGTATGCGCTACATGTGTCATTGCAATCATTCAAAAGCTCCCAATTGATTTCACGCAAAAGCTGTCTAAAAATTGCAATCGAGTCTTTGTTTACATGCCTTATGTATACTGTTATGGGTTTTTTATTTATACAGCATTTAGTATTTGTTGTTAAAAAAACATGAAAATGGTCACTAATATCCGTTTTTATTATACCACTGTTGATTGTCGAGTTACTATAATTATTAGTGATAATATTGTCAATGTAGATGATGTTTTTCGAGTTACACGTGTCGGCTTGTTAATCATGGGGTAAGCACTAAATTGAGAAAGAGTATTTATAAAACCTTTTACGTGGTTATCAGCGTTTAAATTTATCAAGTTTAAATTAAAGTCTCCGAGTATATATAGATGTTTTTTAGAGGTTTGAATTAATATTCGCCTTAAGTCATTTTCAAATTGATTGTAACTGCCATTGGGTGGTCGATATAAAACTGTTATAAACAAATTTTTTCTTTTTGGTTTATTATCTCTATAGTTAATGATTCGCAATTCGAGTTATTCACACTTAGACTATCTACTTTTTTATACATCAACGAGTTGTGAATAAATATGTATACGCCTCCGCCAATACCGTTTTTTCTCGGTTGGTGAACAGACTTGTAATCTGTTTGTAATTTTTTACTTGCAGCAAATAATTTTTCTGGTGTATTTTCTTTCACCGAACTGCTTATTCTTCTTTGTTTTATTTTAATTGATGCTTTATTGAAATTAATTTTTAATTTTAAGCATTATTTTAATTTTTTCATATAAGTCTTTATCTAACCATTAACTAAATTTCTTTTCAAAAAAAAATTATTTCTTTTCCATCTATTCCATTTTCTTTTATACAACACGATAAATTAATTCAATTTTAAACTGTTACCACCAATATATATATTGGTGTTAACAGTTTAATATTACTAATATAAGTACATATATGTACTTAAAATAATACTGATATCTTTAGATAAAATACTCAAACTATTTTCTCTTATATAATGGTGTAAATCACATTTTTTCATTTTCTAAAATAAAAACTAGACTGTACATTTAATAAATATTTTGTTCATGAGTTTATATGAGTTACTATACTAAAAAATAATATAATTACTTTAAAAGCATTGTCCAATTTTTATAATCTTTTCAGCAATGATAAACATTTTTTGATAAACTTTCAATTAAATAATTTGGTCAAATACTTTTATTGTTTGTAAAACCACAAAAAAATATGTTTTCAATAGCAGTTGTTTAACTGCGACGGTATAGATAACTATAAAATTTATGAACTTGTTTTTTAAAAAATAAAATGCAATAGGACTTAGTTTATGTTGATACAAAATAACAAGATAAAAATAATCGTTTTCATATTTTGATCTTTAGCTAGGTTTTTTGAAAATTTGGGTTATGTAAGAGAAGAATACATGCGCAATGTCCCAGGTAGTGGACAAAACCGTTTTTTTTCAAGTGTGGCAATCGATAAAAAATAAGAAATATAGAAACAATAAGAAATATACGTACCAAATATACTGTACACAGTATAAGTTAACACTATAATTAGCATAAAAAGGTTGTTGTTATACAAAATTAGGTATCCATAGCAACCAAATAAAAAAATACTACTTTCATAAGTATCATTGACTTCATATAAATACGCATAACAAGTATAGTGAAAATAGCATAAATAAAAAACCTGCAACTCCCTAAAATAATTTGTTGCTATAAAAAATAAGGTAGCCATAGCAACCAAATAATAAAAAAAGTATTTATTTACATCAAGGATCTCTATGATAATGTAAACATAGAACTCCAAAAATTAAATATATGGTTTAAAACAAATAAGTTATCCCTAAACATAGAAAAAACAAAATACACTTTATTTCATTCAAACCAGGAAAGAAACAAACTACCAAATATTCTACCTCACATAAATGCTTTAAACACTAAAATATGAAAAAGCATAGGTCTACTTTATAAAGCAAAACAAAGCTGTTGCGAAGTAATTTAAAACTTATATATTTCTCTTTCAAACATAGCTACCTCATATATGCGAATATAGCTTGGGCAAGTACGCATATAACCAAATTTAAAACTTTATATCGACGTCAGAAACATGCTGTATGACTAATCGATTATAAAGACAAATTTACATACGCTGAAACCTTATTTAAAGAAATGAATGTGCTTAACATTTATCAAATTAACATTTACCAAAATATATTGTTTATG